CCTAGCAGGATTACTCCGAGTACCACGAGCATGCACCCAACCGCGAAAAGCTATCCCGAAGATCTGGGTCCAAGGTTTTGAGTGCAATGTAACGATATCACTCTAGGCCATTCGCCAGGAAGCTGACCAGGGGCCAAATGAGAGCACGGGAACAGTCATGACATTGTCATACAACAGAGAACTGGCTGGTAGACCTCGAAGACACCGTCCAGTTGCCAGTGAAGAAGCCCCTTGTACGCCCTGAACACAACCGACGCTACCAACGTCCGACTTCCGACAAACAACAAAGCCCAACACGCGGGCAGAGACTGCGACTAGGTTCATGTGCTGACGCTATCATGTCCATGCGAGCTTCCTGGCTGTTGCCCATCCGAAGGGTCCCGAGGACCACCGCCTTGCATACCATGGGCACCACCATGGGGACCACCGCCGTTGCGGCGGGAACCGCCACGACCACGATGGTTCGACACCCGTCTTCTGTCGGCGCTCCGCGGAAAGTGATCGCAGTCAACCATTGTGTAACGATAGTTGCCGCAATAGGCGCAGCTGCAAAGCATCAGCCAACATTGTCAAGAAAGGTCTTTAGAATGGCTCGCTCACTCTGTCCGTTGGCCACCGGCGCACCATTCACACGTCACTGCCTGGGTCATACGGCCTTGCCAGAGGAAGCACCCGCAGGTGGCCGTATCTTCTTGGGCCCCACCGCTCATAGTGAATCAGTGAAGACGCGAGGGTTTGAGGGAAACCTAACAGCTTCTTGGGTCGGGGAGAGATGATGATGATGATGATGATGATGGTTATGATGGAACAAGTCTGAGGACAGAAACTCCCGAGAAGCCCCTGGGGGCGGGTGGTCTCTTATAGCCCGAGTCTGCCATGGACTCCGGCGTTCCATTCCTGGCACCATATTCAGCATCGCTCACCGCCGGACCCGACGAGTAGAGACATCCTCACACAGCATCAACAAGCCAATGGCGAGAACCGGAGGTTTGGGGCATCCTCTAGGAAGGTCTGCTGATCACAATATTGGGCTTGTGATGTTGATGGGATTACCGAGTTGAGAAGAGAGCTGAGGTGTGGACTGACAGACCCGTGGGGGACCATATCCGCCGGAACCGACTCACCAGGCCTATTGATAGTCTCAACACAGCTGTCGAGATATTTTGGCATCCAGGGTGTCCCTTGTTGGTTGGAGCATCGAAGCTGAGACACGACTTAAGGCAACGCCCGAGGGTTACGGTCGCCTTATCCACGTCCACGGCAGTACTGCATGTCCGTCATGCTGTTTAGGAGGTCGTGTGCTTGGGTGAGAACGCCGAGGATGGCATCAAGTTCACCAACGCCGAGATCATGCAGCTACCCGTCGCGGCTTACTGGAGAGGTGACTTTTCGCTGGCTCCTGGTGGGGCACCTGCTGTCCTGGCATGAGCACGCACAACCAGTGACTGCAGAATTGCGGAAGAGCTAGAACATGGTCGAAGTTGCGGCTAGGCGCATCCTGGCGCTGGAACATGACGTGCAAAGTCATCACACAGTGCAACACTTTCCTCAACGAGCCCTTCCTTCTAGCAGGCTGTGCTATAGCACAGTAAGGCGACCGATGAGTACGGATTGCCCATGTACCATTATTTTCCTCTTTTTTTCCCTCATCACCCAAACGACATCGATGCAGAAGACCGCCAGGTTCCAAAGTCCCGGGATTTGTCTCGGCTATCACACGTCCACTGCCTGATATGGCTACCGAACTGCCTGCCCATCTTGGATCGAACTAAGCCAGCGAGACTACAATCAAGCTAGCCGGACTGCCGTGTTCGTGTTCTCGGTCGGAGCGAAGAAGCCGCTCAGGGAGGTATCAGCTCGCGCGTCACTCTCTCTCTCTCGTTGATCAAGTTGTTTCCGCAACCCGTGTTGTTCCCGAACCAGCTTCCGCGCTGTCATTTCCAACAACAGGTCAGCTATGCTTTTCTGACAGGCATTTCCCTGCTAGCACTCGAGCTTCCGCCCAGGCATTCTTGTCCAGGGAGGTAGTGGAACGTCGTCGGGATGGAGTTCTTCTCCTCTCAAATATTGCATTCAGCCGCGTTTTCTCGAAGGCTCGATAGAAAGCACAAAGACGATAGATCACTTTTCGGCGGCAGCGGAGCGTTTCAGCATCAGATTGTGTGCCCCGATACATGGCGATTCTGTCATGTGCCTTGCCGTCCCTATAGGCCCCAGCTGAGGAGTTCGGGGTACGGTATACCCAGCGACCCTTGTCCTGCACCCGCCTCGAAGGCTCCCTCTATGCAAAGAACATAAAATAGAGTGGCAGTCTCATGCACGTCACACGTCCTGGGCCGAAGCTCCTCCCGAGAGCCGACTGACTCCTTGCGATGGCCGGGACTTGTCACCAGTGATTGCCATCGCCGAGTACCATGCCCCCTCCGTCCCCCCTTCGGCTCTATCGACGTCGGAAATGGGCCTCCAGTCTCAATTGCATGATAACCTCGGCGTCGCGAAGGGCCCGCCGTATTGGGTGGGTGGCATATGGATACGATGCATGTCGATCACTTGGGCTTGCGTTCGCAGTTCGACTTCGGCATACCAGAAGAGACCAGGAGAGCCAGCGGAAGGAGAAGACAGCTGCGTCGTGGATGTCTCGGGTAGCTGCCGAAGTCTTGGCCTATGGCGGACGCAAAGCTCCAGCAAGGGGGGGCAGGGGAACGAGGGGGCATGGGATCACTCCAGGGTTAAGCGCGCCTTCCGACTCCCGAACCCGCCCCCGCAAAGCCATCTCACTCGATCTAAGACTGATCGACTACATAGCATTGTCGAAATCCGGGGCCCAATCAGAAGTACACTTGAAAGTTGGGTGTTTCCGAGGCGAGACAACGTCCCATCGCTTCATTTCGCCAGTGTTGCGCTGAGGTTTGGGCTCTCAGGCTCTCGATGCACAGTGGGAATCATGTGGCGACTGTCGCCGTTGGGCAGCGTTGCGGACATAATCTGTCAGATGAAGGCACATTATCCCCCCTCGTGCTTGGAGTCACACACTGACGTGCCTCCTGCTTGCTCATGCTTGTCTGACAGGCAGGCTGTGGGCGTTTGATGGGTAGCGGCAGGCATGGAGACTTCTCACCGCCTGCGAGGACAGAACGACAATGTCGGTCTGAATTCCCCCGCTCAGTCTACAGTGTGAGAGTCGATGTCTCAGCTCAGGCCAGCAAGATCAATTGTCGAGATGGGACTGGCTACTGCAAGCGAGGGGGCGCAAGGAATCTGTCAGGACCATACTGTGCCTGGAAGCCAAGCGGTCCTGACGCAACCGTGACGACAGACGACACTCAATGTCACCTCGGCAAAGCTCTGAACGAGCGAAGGCAGCAGCATGATAATCAAATCAATACTTTTCCCGAGAAGAGATAACATAAGTTTGCGGGAAACACAGCATCGACTATCAGGGGTGATGCTAGCAAGACACAGTGTATTCGTCCGCCTCACTTTTTTTTCGGACGTCGGGCTGCGCCCAATTATCGAGGGGCGGCAAGTATGACGGCTCCTTCTGGTCGGGCCAAGATGCTCTGGCCAGTAGGCGTGAAGCTGCCGAATTTGGATAGGGACTTTTGGGCGGAAAAAGCAAATACGGGTGTGGGATACAGGTGAAGTGCCATTCCACGCAGGGGAGGCAGGCAGTGGCCGAGGAGATGTCTCTGATGCGGTGTCACCCACCAAAAGGGGGTGGAAAAAGGTTATGGGTGAGTGCCCGAAAACCTTCGGGCTACCAAGGAGAGGTCGCGTTTGTGGGGGAGGTACCTTTTGGACAGGGAAGTGCCGAGTTTGAAAAAAGGAGACGTACTGGGAAGGGAGGCACGGGACATGTCACCGGACTGAGTGGGAGATGGCAAAATGGCACGCTAGGCAGACATATTGGGGATAGGTGCGGATGAGGGTTGGTTGTTGTGTGGCGACGACCAGTCGGTGGTCCGGCGCCAGCGTGCCCCCCGCGGTCTTGGTGAAGGGATGGCGGGATGCTATACCGGAAATAAATCGGGATCGGATAGAGATGATGGGAGTTTAGGTAAGAGATATGGCTTTCCTTGGATTGGGAAAAGCAAGTTCCTGATAGCGAGGGTGGCAGGTGAGCCAAGACATGCCAGTGTCATTCCGAGCACGAGTGCATTGGAGGGAACGAGCAGGCTGCCTGGCTAGCTTCGGGAAAGGGGCAGACAGGTGTCATCGTGATGGATGGATGAGATCTCGATTGCTTTGGGAGTCTCCGTATGGGGTCTCCGAATGGGTAGGTGTCAATAATGACGGTTTGGTGCCATGTTGACACGCCCAGGAGAGTCGGGAGAGAGGCTTGACTTGCACGTTTACACGGAGTCACAGCAAAGCTGCTCAATGAAATTCGACTCTCCAAGATGGATACTGAATTCAAAACAACGATCCCAGTTTGGAAATACTGAGACAGTGACAAGTATCGAACGAGTCAGTCCAACACTGTGATGTAGGCGGTGGGTCATGTCATTGCCGCCTCACACCGGTCCCGCCCCTTGATTACCGTACCAGTAGATATCCAGCATCATAACTGGAGCGGTGTGCAGTTGAGGTTAGCTTGATTCCTCTCTGAAGTGCCCAAAACGAAAAAAGGGAGGACGGGGAGCAAGGAAGCAGGCGCCTCTGCTGGACTCGGAACTATCTGACTCCGAGGGCTTCAAACCAAGGCTTCAAAAGTGTAGGCGGGAGACGGTACATCTGGCCGGCTTTGTTCGGGTACGGGGGCTGAGGTTAGGTACATTGGCACTTGTATCCGGGCAGCCGACGCAGGGTGGGATATTCGATTTGGCAGGCGAGGCGGATTTCAAAGTTGACACGGAGTCTGGCAGTTCCTTCTCTAGCCCCCTTCTGAACATTAGAGGGGTCCTCAGCCGGGGCACCAACCTAATCTAGAAAAGTGGGACAACTGAACATCCAGGACAACCTCCTGGGGTTTAAAAGCCAAAAACGTAAGGCAGGCAATCGGGCGGGTAGCGTAGTGGTCAGCGCGTTCTTGAGCGTAAAGTATACTGCGTTGATTTCTCTTGCGTTTAGCGAAAGACCCGGGTTCGACTCCCGGCTTGCCTAAATCCTCCTTTTTTGCTGGTGTTGTTGGCACCGTGATAGCATCCCTTTTATTGCCAGCCACTAGCGTTGGGAGTTGCACCTTGTTTAGTGGACGGTGAGAGGAGTTCACCCGTGGGCGGATCGACTTCTACTTTGTGGGGGTAGGGAAGGTACGATGAGGGAACGGCAAGATGCCTGGGCACGGGGTTGAAGGACGGAAGAGCACCTTCTCTGGTCTGAGAATGAATGCCATGGCACGTCACGTCATCGGCAACATGGATCAAACCTCTCGGTTACCTCGCCCCCGAACAACAAGAATTCCAGAAACTGAGGCACGGCCCGATACCCATACCCAGTGACGGGACAGCCCCAGCCCCGGAAAAGGTTGCCGTTCCCAGACCCCTCGGGGTATTTCACTTCCGTCAACGGCCCAAGGTCGATTGACTTGCCCCCGCGGCTGCCGCCCCCTCGGGACACAGCAACAACCCGCTTCGGCAAGTTCTTCGTTGCCGTGACTGATTCATATCTCGCGGATACTCTTTATCTACTGCTTCACTGAGAAGACCCAGGCTAAGCTAGCTGGGTAGGTACGCAACCATTTCGAAAACCTTCAGCAGCAAAACTCACCAACTTCATCGAACGTCGGCTACTGACCCTACTCTTCGAGATCCGGCTGGTCACGCTTCGCATCCTCCAATCCTTGCATAGGTACCCATCCTCTAGCCCAGCTTCCCCAGCGTCCCAGGCTCTTCCCCCCGTTCTTCTCCTTCCAACCTGCACAGACATGGAACGAAGGCCATGTTAACTTCAGAGCATAAGCAATAAGTTCATCGCATGTCGAAATGTAACATCCGAGTTCGTCAAACATAGTGCTGGTGGACGCTAACAAGAGGTATACAGCCCGGAAGCCTTCTCTCCCTCTCCTGGAAGCCAGCGAGCAACCCGAACCGTTCCCCTCCCATAAAACCCACCGAGGTACCCAGATCATTTCCTCGTTCTTCATTCTCCAAGCCACCCTGGATTGTTCCCCTCCCATTCTCCTAGCTGCCTACCTACCCAACCCAAACTGAGGCGTTCCCCTATCACCCCCCCCCCCTCCCCCCCTCCCCCGAACTCTCAGATTGTTGCCATGTTCTCTCCCAAGCAACTCAAATATGTTTCCCTGCAAGACTCCCAAGTCACCCAAACGTTGCTTCCTCCCATACCTTTTTCCCACCCTTCGTACAAATTGCACAAGACATGTCGCCCGCCACAGCAGCCAAGAAGCTGCCCAACCTTTTGCCAACGAAACGTGTCTTCGGTATGTTTGCGAACCCCTGATGTAAACGCATGTCGGAGGCAGCCCGTTGGGTATTTGTTTACACCCCTGGATATCTTGGTTCGCCCATCACAGAGGAGGGCTCTGTTACTCTCACCTTTGACGACGATATATGAAGAAGACGGAAAGTGGGCGATGGGAATTACAGATCGGAATTCACTGACAAGAACACGTGCTGGTGCTGATGTTGTAGATCCGCTGGGGAAACTAGCAGTGGCTGCGCCATGTCCTGGTTCTGGTTCGCACAGCTATTCTCACATATACGATCGATCATACGTGAGAACCGCTTTTCAAACCTCGATTAGCTTCCTATCTGAGCGAGCTAAACCTTGATGATGATCGCAAGTTGCGCAAATCAATGAACGCATTGGTCGTTGCTCAAAGATATGCATTCCCAGCCGTCACCTCCGTACCATCAAGCCCAAAGCAGCCCGGAGAGATACGCAGAGAAAGAACTGAAGGAGAACGGAAACTTCAACGGTAAGTAGGGAGAGAAAGTTTAACAGCCGTTTCATTCCTAACCAGCGAGAGCCCCTGAGATCCAGATTGACCTCGCCCCTGGTCGCCATCTGCCCTCAAATATGATGTAATAAGTGACCTGAACGCCCACCCACGCCATCCCCGAATTCTGCTCGCGAAATACATTCGTTATAACACACTTGTCAAAGACCGCGAATCTCAAAAGACCCAGCCAAGGGCACCCAAATCTCCGTCGAATGTCATCCTTCAGGGAGGTAGTCACCAGAAACAACCAATCCATAAGGGGCGAAACAACCGATTCTTCTCACCTAGAAGGTCGGCGCTGTGTAGATGAGGGTGCCAACAATCATGGCGCCCGCGGTAACACCGCCAAGAGCAGCGTACCCCACCCGCTCTGCAATCTTGCGAAGGCGCCGTCTCTTGGGAGCTCTAGCCTCCGACCCAGGCGCGATAGTCTTCAGGCTCATCTGGGGAGGAGCCGGTAGCTTAATGTCGGCCTTGGCAACTTCGATAGAAACCGGCGAAGCTTCCCTTGCCGGGGCACGCTCGAAGACAGGAGAGGGCGCGGGCGAGATCGGGACAGTAACCTTAGCTTGGACGGGCTTCTCGCGCGCAACCCACGCCTCATCTTCCTCGCTTAGGGTTGAGATGTTCTTCGCCTTTCGCTTTACCTTGCATTCATCAAGCGTCTTCTGGCAGCTGTCGACAATATCTGAAATTCCAAGGCGTGTGCGACGGGAGACGTCGGCGCCGTTGGCAGCCATCTTTGGCTGCTGATCAGACGGCTGAGCTGCGACGGAGGCAGGCGCAGTCTCGTTGTCGTTGGCAGGGACGATCATCGGCTCAGAGGCTGCTTCCTGCACAGGCTCCTTCGGTACCTGGGGACTAGCCGACACCACTGCGGCCTCGGTTGCGAGCAGATTCAGGGGCCCGAAGTGCGAGGACAGATGAGGCAGCTTGAAAGGGTGATCTGCTGCCGCCGTTGCTGCTCCGGAAGAGGTGGTAGAGTCAACTAGTCCAATTTGTCTGTTGACTGGGTGGTCTTCATTGCAGAGCGAGTGCACTGAGGAGAGAGTGCCGGCCTTCTTCTGCAAGGAGATCTTGTTCTCCTCTCTCGCCTCGAAGTAATCGCGTTTACCTGACTTCTGGGCGAGAAGATCTGCACCAGCTCTTGCCTCCGAAGTATCTGTGGCCTTATGAAAGCTCTTCGACATGATAATATCAGAGGGGCTGGGGTGCCTCTGTGTGTTCGGCTCCAGCGCCTGGTTCTCAAAGCCCGAGTTTCCGGTACTGTGAGCAGCAGGCTCTCGGATCTCGCTGTCGTCGTTGTTGAGGAGGCTACCGATCGTTGGTGGCAGGGTTGCCCTCATCGGCATATCCGGGGCCGCCGACAGAGAGATCCCTTGCTTTGGTAGGGAAAAAAAGATATGAGGTTCGGCAGCTTGGGCCTTCCAGAACGGATCTGTGGGTTCTTATAAATGTCAGCAGTCATACACAAGTCCTCAAAGAGACATTTTTGCTCACCATCCTCGTCGGATGTATCATCGAGTTCCCCAATGCAACGATCGGGGTCCTCCTCATCTTCCTCGGACCCGTCAACACTGCTGGATTCATCGTCGAAACCATAGACATCGCTGCTCGGCTCGTCATCCATACCATAGGGTGCGGCCTCATTACTTGCAAGGCTGCTGGTGCTTGACTCATTCTCGGCATCGCTGTCGAAATCGATGTCCGATGCTTCATCGCTATCGTAATGCATGGACTGCTGCTCATCATCTGAACACAAGGATGAGATTTGTTCAGAAAGGAAAGAAGCCTGGTCCATATCGTCTTCGTCGTCAATGTCATCTTCGATGATCTCAGGCTGGACAGCCTCGAGGACCACTGTGGCCTTGGCGACACTGACAGGAACGTCGCGGACCTCGAATACGCTATCATCGTCGGATTCATAGTCGTCTTCGATGACAACGGGAGACTGGAGTGGCGACGACAAGTCGATAGCGTTGTTGGTGCAAATGCCACTGAGAGGTTCCACAGGGGAGATCGCCATGTTGTTGAGATCCATCGGTCCCTGCTCGGTGAGATCAATTGTCTCCGAAACGCGCTTTCCTGCCTTTATAATGGTGAGTTCGGTATCGTTCTCCTCATAGTCGCCGTTGTTGGAGTAGCATTCCAGCTCGGATTCCATATCAGAGTCTTCCGGAACCCTGAAAGTGCTGCTAGCACGCTCGCTCCTGAATGGAATGTTAGATTCTGTCAACAACAAACTCCTGGGGTCGACGCAACGAACCGGTGATCGAATGCTATGCCCACTCTGACTTTGGTGGGAGAGAAACTCTCGCTGGCCCGCCAAACACTAACGCCGAACCTAACGATGTCTCCGTCTCGTAGCTCACGAGGATCGTTGCTAGCAATCTTATCCTCTTCGTCATTGATGTAAGTTCCGTGAAGCGAGCCGAGGTCCTCAATCTTAACCTTCTGGAAGAGAGTTAGCCGAGAGAACCCGAGCCAGGGCGACAAATACTTTATATACCATGGTCTTGACGTCAATTTTGATCTCAGCATGCTTTCTCGACATCACTGCGGACTCGAACCATCCATTGTCCTTGTCGGCGAGGAAGCCTTTCGAGGACGTCTTTGAGGCCCGTCCAATGATGAACGAGTTGTTCGTCGCATCCAAAGTCATGCGACGTTCAGGGAACGCAGCAGGCGGGAGATTCGCAGCATACAAGCTGATGTGGGCTGGGTGGCGGTCAGAACAGCGTTGATAGAGGCGGGGTAAAAGCTCGAGGCAAACGAAGGAAGCACCGGGCGAACAGCTGGAGGAGAACGTACCAAGGTTTGCCGAGTCGCTCGAGGTGTCCATGATGGGCACGCTGCTCGTGAAGCTCAAAGAGCAGGAAAGAGCGCAAGACAAGCTTCAGAGGAGACGCGTATCGAGGCCTCGAAGACGGAAGTCAATCACGTCGGACAAAGGCTCCGCAGCCTCCTCGGAGCGACCGGTGTTTAGAGGTCTGGGAAGTGTCTTGGTCAGTCGGTTCGGCGAGATGCGGCAACGTGAGAAAGGTAAATTTGCGCAAGGTTGGGGCATAAAGGCGCCTTCCCGCCAGCCTCATCCAGACCAGTTGAACACGGATGGAATTGTGGATGAAGGAGAAGAAGGTTCAGGCAGGAGTCCGGATGCTGAGGTTCGAGGTGGGGCAAGTGTAAGAGGAGCTCCTAA